AACGCGAGCAATGAAAATAAAAGCAAGATAGAAATAATGAATATATTGGTAAATCTCTAATTTAACATTCAACTTTCTCATGTAACATTTAACGGCCAAATTGCCATTGCTAAACCATGCTCGTAAAGTTTTGAAACATTCTCTTTAAACATTTTTTCGTAGTTATTCCTATATTAGTAATAGTAATAGAAAATAGATTCGCTGCGCAATTGTTTTAATTAACATTATGTCAAATTAATAACGTCAAGTACTGGTAAGTTAACCACATCGTTAAACATCTTTGCCCGATTGATTAAAGATTCTTACCCAATATTATCTTTATCATAATCACATTTTCCGAATGAAGGAGTTCTGAGAGTCCATTCAAAAATAGATGAATTTCTCGGCTTAAAACGATTGGAATTTTTCCAGAAAGTCTATAAGAATAACAAAAAATACTTTCTAAAGGCGTGAAAGAATGTCAAATTTAATGATCCCAAGACGGAATAAATAACGCGGTTTTAGTGGGAGTTTTCCTCTTTAGAGGAAGTTGCCCCCTTGAAGCCGAGTCAGTCTGCCGGAAGTGACTCGATTCCTATCAATTCTCCCTCGGGATAATTACACTCTACTCAAAACTACTTGGTAGGCACCATACAGACTTTCTTCGTAACCTTTTGCCCAAGAAACCTCGTAAATATCCGAGCTAAAACTATTAATAACTTAAGTTATTTATCTTAAGACTAAGGTAGGAAAATCCTTGGAGCAGAACACCAAGTTTCCGGTTCCTCCGAAACTGTCTTTATTTGTATGACCATTTTGTCAAGTGTTTCCTTTTACGTACATCGTTTTGTATTTTGGTTCGATTCTCAGAAAGGAAAAAAAATCTCTGTATTGTTTTTTTTTTTTACAAATTAAACATAAGAAATTGCCCTTACAGAATTATTTAATCGTGCAGGATGTCTGTCATATTTCGAAGGCGTTAACTTATACTCCTCTCGAGGTATCAAATTCATTATATCAAATTTTGAGTCACGCGAAGTTTTTCATTCTTCATGAATTTCACTCAAAATTAATCCTGGTTCGAGAATTGTCCTAAAGCATTCAAAGTACTGTAAAAATTCTATCGGATTAACAAACGTCAAGTGCTTAATTTGAAGTTAAATAATTGGAATTTCTCTCCATTTCAAGGATAAATTTCAACTCAAATTCAAATCAGATTCTATTCAATGCAGTTGGATGTGCCTGAACCAGTCAAATCAAATACATACTTAGGATTTCAAGTCATACTCGTGTGTCTTACAATCACGTCCCTTTAAATGTTTTATCGTATGATTCACTTCCTGAGCACCAGCCAAGGTTAACACAAATAATACTAGGACAACAATTAGGTTATTGTTCCCAAATTGAAACCATAAAAATGGATGACTTTTGAATGCTATTATTAGTTAAAGTAGTATATTGGTAATAATTCTTAAGTTAAGTAAACAGTTTAGGTATATACAACAAATTCTTGGTTATCAAAATAAATAAGTAAATAATTAAAATTTGAGAGTGAAGAAAAGAAGCACTTTAGGAAAAAGATAGATATTGTARACATGTTCAAACCATATTCCTCTTTTCAAAATATGAACAACATACCTTTTGTTTTTCTACCAATTTTTGAAATGAAAGACAAAGGATAATGCTAAGTGCCTGTATGCATGCACACAGCTAATGTATAACAACACACCATATATCAATATCGCAATGCATAGCATGCTATAAGAGCAGCCTTATCAACCACATAATGAGCTGCAGTAGTTTAAAATTTTATTAACATTCTTATTATTGGTTTAAAAGTTTGCTGTTAAATTTTAGACAATGCTAACTATCATATCAACTGGTATGAGTATTAAAATTGTAGTATGTCACAGTATAATAGTATAATGACTTCATCAATTTTATGTGATGTCATCAGTTATATTAAGTCTTCACTTAAAACATACTATAAGAAGTACCACTATGGCAATAACATTAATTATTGTAGTAACATTATTTAACATTAGTAATTATTGTTATGGCTAATAAAGAAGATGTAACAAAATAGAATAGAAAAATAGGACAGCACTAACACTATCATGATGTACTAATGTGCGACCACATGATAGTACATGATATTACAAACATGACGATGTCATCGCAATACAATGATGTAATTTGACATCACTTATACTTTCATGATGTATTATATGTGACGTCACATTAGTATGTTATATTACATAGATGATAATGTCATTACGATGCAATAATGTAAAATGATATCACTAAAACTATCATGATTTATGAATGTATGACGACATAGTAGTATGTTAAGTTACATACATGATGATGTCAACACAGTACACCATTATTATCATAATGATGGCATTAGTATGACATCATTAGCAATTAGAAAACTTTTTTTTTYCAGATACTAACCTCATTCTTCTTTTCCCAACAGCACCCTCTTTTCGTGTCAAGCCAAGTAACTTCACGCTTGTCGAGGTTGGCATGGACATAAAGCTATCTTGTCAAATCAACCAACAGAAAAAATTCATTGAATATTACTGGCTTAAAAATGGCCATCGAATTTACATGGACAATAATCCTAGAATGCGTATTAAACCTTTGAAATATCTCAAAGTAAAGCAAACTAGAAGTGACGATAGTGGTGTCTATCAGTGCGTAGCAAAAAACAAGTGTGGCTTTGTCGATGGTACGATCAAACTCCAGGTCAAATGTAAGTATTTAACACTGGATAAAGTCTAATTTTGTGGTACGAAAGATAAAAAAAGAATAAAGAAGTAAAATGAATTGAAGAAGTAGCGATAACTTACCTTTTTCTTGGAGAAAAGAAAAAGAAAATGAGAGAGAAATAAACGTATCAATCCTATCGAAGTTTGCTAAAGTCGAGGKCTACTAGATTTGGGCTGTAGGCCGCTGTCCACTGGATGAAACTATAGATAACACAGGGACCCCAAATTCTTATCATATTTTGATGTTTTATCATTGTTTGTTTTACAGCCCCGACCTTGGATCCTAGCGATAATTCTACAGGAAAAGGTCAGAATACGTTAATAAATAATTTCTCTGATGTATTGAATAAAAATGGGAAAACTGTATGTTTTTTTTCCTGAGTGAAGAACGTTAACTAGTATAAAAAATCATTGGTTCACGAGGCCAGAATGAGAGACCAAGATAAATATATATATATTAAATATAAACTGACATTTTATATATTATATCTTGAATTCATTGAAATCCTTTGATTATTCTGCAGTTCCCCCTAAACTTATCGTAAACCCCCACAAACGCCACAAGACGTTGATCGCAGTGCCTGTCGGGAATTCTGTGAGACTGGACTGTTCAGCAAAGGGCAATCCCCAGCCCGTGGTCAGGTGGTATAAGGACGGTAAAAAATTCAATTCAAGAGACGGCGGTGTCATATCCCTTAGTTCTTACGACTTTGTCCTACAATTACGGGACGTTGTACCGAATGACAGTGGAAAGTACACTTGTAATGTAACAAACGACTATGGTTGGTTTAATCACACCTACAGAGTAGACGTACGAGGTGAGAGGACGTTAAAACTAATGAAGAAGTACGTTTGGAGGAAGGATCGTTTAAGATTTGTCAATAACATTTTTTAGTATCCATCCAAAATGGTAACCATATGACGTCATAGAAGCCATTTTGAAGGAATATCCCCATATTCGTTGCTGTATTTTTGCAGTGTCATCGAACATCCCAAGGTTTTCTACTGAAATGTTTTGGCCTTGTTGCTCTACGAATTCCATCTTGCCTGGTTTGCTTTATTCTTGTTTTTTCTTTTACACTTCAGAACGAGTAAGAGCCAAGCCCGTCATTCTAAGTATTGACAACGTTACCGCGTGGGTTGGTGAAAATGTGACGCTGGCCTGCAAGGCGATGAGCGACTCTATGCCTCATTTCCAGTGGATTAGATGGTTTACTCCTTATTTCAATGTCTCCAACAACAGTTCAGCGCCTTTCGAAGTTATCAAGCAGAAGGCAGTGGATCCTTCAAGTCACATATTAAGACCACCATTAAACCGAAAATTTGCATTTCACGGAGTGAAACTGACTCTTTATAACGTGAGCAAAAAGGACGAAGGAAGATACTCCTGTGTCGTGGGAAATGCTGTCGGTTACAGCTATGAGCATGGATTCTTGATAGTCAAAGATGGTTCAGGTAAATATAGATCTGATCTTTGTTTGGAATTAAAAACCTTTAGGCGATCATCGTGAGTTTAGAACGTGTGCACATCTGTTCAACCTTTTTTTCTTTCTTTTTTTATTCTATATTTTTTCTATCTATCCATCCATTTATCCAACTTTCCCTGATTAACTGTCTATATCAATGCGGAAAAATAATTTATGAATGAATGAATATTTTCCCTCTCCAGCGACCGACCCTCCAACCACTGCGTTAACAGAGCGGCTATACATTGAAGGTCTTAAAACGAGCACTACTGCATCGGTGGCTGAGATAAAAAAGCAGGAGCCTAAACAAAAAGGATTCGTGGTCATTATTTCCGTTGTTGGAGCTGTCTCCTTGTTTTTAATCATTCTGATAGTGGTTGTTTATGTCCTTTGGACAAAGCGAAGAAGTAAGAATATATATACAGAAGATTACAATGTCCAATACGCCAGGCGCATCGAGCAAAATTCACGACAGAGACACCCTTCAGTAACCACAAGTACATCGTCTTATGGTTCTACAGCACCGTTACTAAGGAAACGGGACATGCGCATTGATTCCAATCTCTCTCAAGTATCTGAATATGAACTACCGCTAGACGAGGAATGGGAATTGGATCGCAGTTTGATCACTGTATCGGAAACTCTAGGGGAAGGAGCTTTTGGACGCGTTATGAAAGCTGAAGCAATTGGATTGAAAAAAGCGCCGTATAGCAGCTGCTTCGTGGCCGTTAAAATGTTAAAAGGTATATTGGAAACTTTTTTACCGTTTGAATACTTATCACTGCACATTATGACTAATATTTATCTTCGTGAAAGTTACTGATTCACTAGTTGGTAGCGCCCGCACGAGCTGCCAACAATTGAGATTCCTTATTGGCTATTCCGAGGTCGAGGAAAACACTGGGTCAATTTGGTATTGCAGTGCACTCTGGGGATGTTTTAGGAGACATATTTCCAAGATGGCGTCTATTTGTCCCCCAAAACATTCCCACAATTCCTTTCTTATTCGACCCAGGTTTTCCCCCAAACTAGGAAATATATATATATATGTGTGACAAAGCGCGTTTTAACGCATTTATATGAAACCAGTTCAATTAGCCCAGTTCGTACGCGTTGAATTGCATTAATGCTATCGATTAATTAAGATTACGCGCGCGTGTGACGCGCTAGGTACTGATTTGGTTTATATTTTTTCCTCTTCAGATGATGCAACAGAACAAGAACTATCAGATTTGATATCCGAAATGGAAACAATGAAAAGAATAGGACAACACAAGAATATTATTAACCTCATCGGTGCTTGTACGCAAAATGGTGAGTCTACATATAAATYGAGACACAAAGGTGTGAGGTGTGGATTTAGTGTTCAAGCTTCCGTTAAATTGTACCTTGGTTTGGGACAATAATTTCTCCGTATATATATTACATTCCTTAATCGTTTTTTATCGGATTTCAGGTCCATTATTTGTGGTTGTGGAATACGCTGCCAACGGTAACTTGCGTCAGTTTTTGAGGAGTCGAAGACCAACTGATGACTACAGTTACTCAAGCGGCAAAGAGAGACTTCATCTTAGTGATCTGGTTTCGTTTGCTTATCAAGTTTCTCGTGGCATGGCATATTTAGAAGCCAAAAAGGTGCGCTGTCCTTAGTTTTACTTGAATTATAGCTATACTTTTAGCTCAAATTACTTTTCTTCAACTCCGTAAGTTTAAGCGGCAGGTTTTTTTCTCCCCGGACCTAAAGCGAAAATAGAGGGCTGAAAATGGGGCTCAAGCAGGGTATCATCATCATTATTCTCTATGCCTGTGTGGCACGTAGGGCTGAGTTAGCAGGGTATAATATAGCTTAATAGCATACAAAAAGCCCAGGATTTTAAATACGACTGGTGTTTCTGTTTGTAGTGTATTCATCGTGATCTTGCTGCAAGGAACGTCTTAGTGTCTGAAGATCTCGTACTCAAGATAGCGGACTTTGGTTTGGCACGTGATGTTCATGATGTTGACTACTACAGAAAGACAACGGATGTAAGTAATGTAGAAAAAATACTGCGGCGACGCTAGTTCTGGCCCCTAATTTACCAAACATACCAGGATGAACGCCATCCGTCTCAATTGAAAGCTTAAAGTGCCTATTACCCTTCTGACAATATTCACAGTATTGATTCTACATGGGGTAAGATGCGGAAAAGCCCGAAAAAATTTCATAGTTTGAGTGCGGCTTCTTGAAGTTATAAGGGTTTTTCCCTGCCATATGCTAATGTTGTGACGTATGAGAAGTAATCATTTAATATACCAATCCTTACTGGCACAGATAAATTAAATTTGAAATACGTCATTGTTTTGCCCATTGCTCTTATAGAAATTATTGCAAGCTATTGTTCACATAGAAGCCGGTGTTTCGAATTACAAGGAACAACAAATAACCATAAATGCCTCCTCATACGTCACGGCATTAGCATATGGCATGGAAAAACCTTTATAACTTCAAGAAGCTGTACTCAAACTATGAATTTTTTTTCAGGTTATTCGACATCTTACCCCATGTAGAATCAATACTGTAAATATTGTCAGAAGGGTGATAGGCACTAAGAATTTAAGAACCTTGAGTTTAGCAGTGGTCTGTAGCGTCTGTCAAGTGCTACCCTCTGAAACTTACCCATCGATACTTTGGAGCAATAGTTATCATTGCAGCGCATCGGATTCTAACAAAAACTCTATATTTGTTTCTCAGGGTCGTCTTCCAGTGATGTGGATGGCTTTAGAAGCATTATTTGATAGAGTTTACACTGCGCAAAGCGATGTGTAAGTACCATGTTACCTTTGGTGATCAACAGCAAAGTTCAATCTTATAAGAGCGAGATCTAAACCACATATGATAATTTCTCTCATCAGATGGGCGTTCGGTATCTTGATGTGGGAAATCGTTACATTTGGTAAGTCGGTTTTTTAACCAACTATTGTTGCGCAATTACACCTTGAGTAATTGCGGCTTATCATTTCCCACTTTTATTCATCTTTCATTCTCTTGCATCCAACATTTATTTATATTGTCTCTCCCAGGTGGCTCCCCATACCCTGGTGTACCACTGGAAAAACTCTTCGAGCTCTTAAAATCTGGCTATCGAATGGAACAACCTGTGAATTGCGATGATGAAATGTAAGTGAAGAAACTATAGTCGTCTTTGCTATTGATATAGTCATTTTTGAACTGGAAAAAAATATCAACGGAATAGTTAATGTAGAAAGGGAACCCAATAAAAAGTATGGATGGATAATGTAATAGATGGATGTCTTGTGCAAGATTCTATTTAAAATAGCCTTGATAGGGCTATATCATAATAGGCCCTTTGCAGTTAASGGTCACGTGTCTCTATTGGAGTGCAATCTTTTTGTTTTTATTTTAAATTGGTGATTCTTTTTACTTACTCGTAAAGAACTGAACGAAACGATGTGTAATCAGTGTTACGAAATGCAGTTTTATTACGATAACTTGAAACAGGTTGTAGAAAGCGTGTTTGCTCTCCATTAAATTTCACCCATGGGAATGAAGATGTTCATTCATTTGCTCTCAGTGAATTAATCAGCACGTGATTACTGAGCTGCAAAGTTTCTAATATCATATCGATATAAGTTTACAAGGTAGTAGAAAAGAGGAACCCCTATTCTGCTCAGATTTAAACGACTTAAATTGACGCTGTGTCTATTTAATTTCCGATTGCCTTTCCTCCTAAAGGTATGCCTTGATGATTCAATGCTGGCACGAGGATCCAGCCCGAAGACCAACATTCAATCAGCTTGTGAAGGAGCTCGACGCCAAGTTAACAGTCTTGTCTGACAGAGTAAGTACTGTACTGAGGTTGGGTTTGTAACTGCAATGTCTAACGTCGAGTAGAGCCCGGTTCTTCTCAACTTTGCGCGCAAACCTTGCAGAGATGGATACGAGACTTCTTGGTTGCGTATAACTGAGCTTAAAATACCATGTCTCCGTGTCTAAATGATCAAGTTTATTCCYAACGTGAATAGCAAGAATTTTCATGGCTGAGAAAAGTCATCTTCTTAGTCTTTTCTTTAAGGGTTTTTAAGGTGCGCGCTTTAAAGCTAGAGTCGAAGTTGAGTTAAAGAACTAACGCTAATAGTTTCTATAATGTGAAGAAAGCTAACAAACTGTGATATTTTCCCAGGAATACTTGGATTTATCGAACGTCTGTCAAAATCCCATCGCTCCTCCTCACACGCCGACCTCATCAGAATCGGTTCCAACACCAAGAGAATCTTTAAGCTCAAGTGTTTTCGAAAGTAATGAAAATATCTGGGGAACAATGGAAAGTGAGCCGCACAGAAATGCTGGGTTTTTGAATTCTCCTAGAACTTTTTCAGAGTCGACGGAAAATAAAAACACTGATAAAGACCAGCGCGATTCAGGAGTTGGTATGGAAAACACGACGAACCAAAATGTTATCATTGACAATGCGAAAAAGACTGTATTCTTCCGCGAACCCATACACAGTGTGGTATAGCGGCGGTTCCTGGCTGTTCATAATGGAAAGAAAAGCAATTAAACATGTGCGATGGCATCAAGAAGTTGATGTGAGCATGCGCGTGATGCCTGTCTTTAAAATCATGCGGGTCTTGGATGGAAAATGGTATGTCAATTCTGAAATTACGCTGGGTGCGAAATATCGCGTCTCCCAGCATACCAATTGTCGTCCTTCAAAAGGAAACACAGTCTAAATATGTTGTTATATAACAGAAGATGTTGGTTTTATTTCAAACTTAAAAATAAAATCCTAAGCTGTGAAGAATCTCAAGTTTATCCAAGATGATTGACACAGGGTCTAACGAACCTCCCCCAACCCCTGGTGAAATCAAGATTGATCAACATAGCGACAATAATTACTTTGACTCGAGGTAACGTGATTGGTCATGAGATAAAAAGATTTACTCCACCCTCGTGGGGGAAAATCAAATTCTGTTGTAGATTATTACTCTTGTGGTAAAGAAGAAAACTCTACGTCGGTGGGGTTGATACACAAAAGTAAATGCAATCAGAAGACTCAACAAAATGGACTATAACCCACCCTCCTGGGAGATAAATAGACTTAAAAGTATATAAAATCAGTTGTATATATATATATATATCTATCTATTATGCTATTAGAATTACGAAATGAAATATTAGAATACTTACGTATTAGTTACAAGAAAATGCTGGAATTGAATAGTATTAGTATTTGGATCAAATTATAGGATGGATTCCAGCACTTTTTATTTTATGAAGTTTAGGTATGAGTCGTTCTTGTGATTCTCGTCTTCTTACCTTGCTCGCTTCTTTCTTTCTTTCTTTCTTCTTTTCTTTCTTCTTTTCTTTCTTTCTTTTCTGCTTTCTTGATTCATTTACTTGCTATTTCTATCTTACCTTTCTTTTTCCCTTTCTTTCTTTCATTTAATCTTACGTAGTTATCTAAGAAATAGACGTCGATCGGTGATGGGACTTTATATAAGTCATTATCCTTAGTAGCATAGCCTTGAGAGATGTGCTGCTATAATTTCTCCTTAGAAATGTTCCTTCGGTATAGTTGGACATGGTCATGTTAACGATCTCTTTCTTGGCTATGCTCCTGCTGGTCATAGCATATAATACAGCCATTTCATAAAAATGGTTGGTGAAGGTATTGTTGCATGACGCTTGCTTGTTGCTTACCAAAGCTTTAGTTGCATAATATTCTAAATAATGTCAACACAGAAGAAAATATGCCAGAAAAAATGTTGGCTGATTGGATTCACATTGCCCATAGTGCATTCTCGGCCAACATGCGACAAAACCTTCAGCAACCTTTTTTGAAACAGTTGTATACTCTTACTTTACATCTAAGATGCACGAGGATCTACCTTTATACAATGGATATTAAAAAGATAACCACATTTACATTAAAAAATGATATGAAGAACTTATTCAGGTTACGTGATCATTATCGCTACACTGTAGYTAGTATGATGACGTAATTTGAGACTGAGATTATCCGATAATGACAAATGTGAATATGCGTAATTCTACCACATTTGTTCTCATGTGGCTGCCTAGTAAGTAATGTCACGTGATCAGTTCCGGCATATTGAATATGCGGGAACTGATCACGTGATATTATTTAATATGCCGGAACTGATCACGTGACATTACTTATTAGGCAGCCATTTTTTTCATGACATTACAACTTTAGTTCTTAAAATTAATGTTAAAAAACTAAAGGGGAAAAGATTGACTTTGAAATGGGTGAATATTGTCGAGAGAATGACATAGAAGTTGTAGCCCAAGGAGATTGGGTATTTAAATGAATCGAATAAATTGAAGGTATAACAAAACAAATTGTCTCGTAGATGGGAAAATTAAAGGATTTGATTTGGTTGTTAGATTATTCTAACATTTTGCCTCTCCGCTATACGCACCCMCGCTACACGCATCTCCTCTACCGGGTCTTCGCTGCTCACTCCCATCCAGATTGCCTGTGCATTTGATTTTTTCTTTAGTATTATATCTCCTCTTTTTCTCGATATTCACTTCTCTTTTGTGTGATTTGAGGTGCTCTTGACTAAGGAGCATGTATGAATATGAACCCTGAGATAGACTTGGAAGAAATGAGTATGACCCGTCCCGCTGCCATGGTGAAGTAAAAAATTCATGCAAAATGCTTCAGCAAATGAGCTTACATTCTAAGCTGCGGTTTGATTGAAAAACTTCACTTGGACAATAGTCCATGTGAAAAATGACTTCAATTATTTGTAACACATCGAGTCGTAACACTTTACAGGATGACTTATTCTGTATTTATGACTGACGTAAAGGGCATAATTGATGGCTAACCTCAATTGTAGCTCTTACGACAAGGTTTATTGAATTTTCAAGAGGGCTTCGTTAAAGAAGCAATATGAATGATCTTGGTGATGACTTAAGGCCTTGACCACATGTCCATGACGCACGTACATCATATCGATGGAAAGCTCGTTGCGAACTACACTCAGACGAGAAAGAAATAATTCGTATGAAGCGACTAAAAATATTGTTGACTCGAAAAAAAGGTGTCTTCTCTCAGAGTCGAGTTGGAACTGAAACGAAAATCCCTATACTATGGTCGACCACTGAGCATGCGCGCTTTGCTATAAATATCATGAACCTGCATATATTACATAAATTGAACTTGTAGGGAGAATTCATGATTCTGCTCCCCATAGTCACCGTTGCTCACCGTGCCTCACGTGCACAACCAATTAGCTAGAATATCTCCGAATTTTGTAAGTCTGATCGCGTTATATCGATTATAAACTGTGCCTATCGTTTACTGTCCTTTGAAAATAATTGAAAATTGTCTTGTAGTTGTTTGTGGGACAATATTTTAATTCGACTGGAAAAACTGTTGCAACGGTGATTGGTTCCCTATACTTGATAATTATTTCATTTTCCGTTTCCTTTTTTTCTCTTTCCTTCCTTTCCTCTTTTCCTTGTTTCTTTTAAGTTTCTTTCATTTTTTATTCTTATTTTCCATTTCATTTTCAAACGTCGTTAGCCAATGCCCAATCACATAAATATTTCACGTTCTATAACCTAATGAATGCCAGACTTACTTTTTTTTAAAAATAATTCCGTTGTGAAATTAATTTTTCTATCTACTCGATAACATTTTGATATCTTACTATACACCGCTTTCCTGACCAAATTACAAATTATTCTTCGCTGAAATAAAGACAATGTCAGGTACGATTACCTCACTTGCATTCCTTTCCCTTTGGTCCTGAAGAAGCTTATTTAATTTATCCATGGCTTGACTTTTCAATCTAATTATATTATTTCTTAGGGCTGGTAAACATCACTCTTGTGGTCTAAATTCACGGTCAGTGACTGGCTGATCTTAACCGTGTGGGATGTTAATTCTTGAGTCCTACGTCATGCTGTTTCTTTAATTCATGATTATTTTGTCGTTTCCGACCTTCAACACAATAATAAGTCTACAAAAACGAAAGGAAAATGCGCTACGAAAAATGAGAAAAAAGAAATAAAAAGGAATGACATCAAATCAAGAAAAGTCGAGTATGAAAAACTTCTAGTTTTCGAATATTTTGGTACATGTAAAAAGGAAGTGTACGAAAATCGTCGCTCTTGGMTTTTGCGAGTCACAATATCTTAACAGGAGGAATTGTTTTGAGGTTTTTGTTTTGAAACACTTCTAAGAAACCTCCTTTCGATTGATTCTTGAAGAATCCTCCCCCTTGGGGTATTTACTTAACATTATTTATTAAAAAGATGAAAGAATGGGTATAAATACTAAGGCTTAAAATAACAGTTAGGTAGTCTTCTAAATCTTTTATCATTGACGATAATTACTCTATTTGACTTTTTAAGGCCAACTGGCGAGTTTATAAAAGGAAAACAGGTCAGTAGTAACCACACTGATGTATAGATATTAAGGCAGACTTTTTGATGTGTTTTGGGGTAGCCAGCCGACGCATGTGGCTCGATATGGACCAGGTTAGTCTTCCCACAAGAATAATTTCCTAATCTACYAAATCGCTGGTTAATGATAGGACGTGTCAGGTCAGATGACCTGGAAATAAGCACGAGTGGCTCAGAGTACAGTAGTCACATCCTCAATACGAGATTCTTGTTTTTTTTACTGTTTTGTCTGTCTCTTCGTGATTGATCTCGTCCAAGCCCTCAACGTCTTTCAACTCTGGTCAAAGGCAAAAATCAAGGTAAGATCAACTTTGGTAGTAAAATAGGTAAAACCCAAAATAAGTCGTCACTGAAACAACCCATCTTTAGAGTATGATTCAACAGGATATAAATAAGCAGTACATTTGATCTAAAAAGACCTGAACTCTAGGGCTAATGATTTTACTTTGTTGTTACATGAACGCGTTATAAAACGGTTGATTCTGGACATAGAATGAAGGTCAAAGACGTTCGAAAACAACCTCAACGGACTCTAAAGGACCAGTATATCTCAATCTGATTTTCAGATGAATCAATTTACGAATGAATGTAGCATGTTTTTGCTGTATCTTACAGTTATTTGTTTCACACAAAAAACAGAATTAGAACGCAAGTCAATCTGCGATAAAACTGCTTCAATTCAAGGAACCCAGTTTAAGGCAAGAGTTTCTCCTCGATTTTTGATCGTAACTTTATCGCGAATCGAGTCTGTTTTCAGTCGAATTATGACTATTCTTTAAGCTCGGCACACTACGAGTGTCCAACGAAAGATTTCTTTAATTACRCAAACAGCCTGAAAATGTTAACAAACGAATCCGCGAAAAAAGAAAAACAAATTCATGACATAATATTATCAAACCAGGTGTACCAACTGGTCTCCTTGAAAAACCGACCAAGATTATCTGGACTCAGCCTTTGATTTTCACTGTTAATCTAATCGTCCAAAATCATTTATYGTATTTGAAGTTTTAAAGAGCGGTTTATTGAAATATACGTTCGTCTTACACTGTGTCTGCGACGCCAAAGATTTAACCAAGATTTCCACCACCGTCCACTGTAGTATTCACTTCTTTTTTCTGTGTTTTAATTATGATAATGATGAATTGATTTTTGACCACTAAAAGCTTTCAAGGACTTTATTACAATAATCGACGCAATAACCTCGTCATAACAACACCAATGTTAAACATTGTGGTGCATGCAATACGCAATGGGAGAATTCTTCTATTTCTGTCTAGTTTCTGTCCGAGTCTGATTCGTTTTACGCCATTAGTTCAACCGCTCGAAGAACTCGAAAAAACGTTTTTTACAAGTAAGAAAGCTAGCTGCCACAAGAGTGCAACATTTTAAAATTAACGTCGGAGCAAGTCACCGCGTCCATTGTAAACCATTTTTGGTCTATTAAATTTTTTTCTTGAGAAATGTTTGTATTGAAGAAATAGAGAACGTGCTCGCGTGCTGTGCGCAGTTATAAAGCACGCGGCGATTGGGCCGACTGAACACGGAGAAGTGTTTGCAAAACATGTCTTCTTATTATCCTTCAAAATAATCCGGGAACTAACAATCTATGAGCTCTTTAAAAAAAACAGCAGTCCTCGTTCATGAGAAATTCAACCATCGCCAGCTCATCTCAGGTTAAATTCGTTGTATGTTGCGATGTTTGAAACGAAATTCCTGTGGGTTGAACACCTTGACTGAAACAGAGTCTAAAAAAAACGATGGTTGGTGCGATCACGTGACATCATTCGACTTGACGCAATCCTGAATTTATAAATATATCAGTGACGATCTAATACGGTGGCCCACAAGGGTTAAACACAAACCAGAGTTATGTTGAATGAGTGCAGAAAACATGTGTAGATCATTTGAAAGGTATATAATAGTTGTTTTTTCGGTGACCGCGTATAAGATAAACTTTGTTATGATTCGATGTAATTGGATATAATTCAAATCGATTATTAATTAATTTGATGTATAATAATATGGTAGTTGGCGTTGATGTTGTTTTTGTAGTAGATGATGATGATGATGATGATGGTGGTGGTGGTGGTGGTGATGTCGATGATGATAGTCGTAGTTGTATATAAAGTTTCCAAACACTATTAATAAATTAGAATTCGCATAACGGTGAACAGTACGATACGGTAAAGCTATTGCTGTACGGCATTCTTTGCACCAATCACACCACGCGATACCYTACTGCTTGCAAAACCACACAATATACACAGCGCCACCACGATCACGGCACGGCACGGAACCTCAACGTACCGTAGTTTTCACTCTGATAAAATTTGCCTCGACTAGTAATTCATATCGTGGTTCAGATCACAGCGGACAAGAGCACAGTGATCGTTTTCCATAGCAACACAATACAAGGTGCGATGCTATCGTGCGTGCGATGTCAAGACCTAGAATTAACTGCACTGATTTACCTTGACATTAACTGACGACGCTTATGATATCACTGCAATAGCCTGAGCTGTCGTGACCTGAACTCAACGGTGTGTCGCACTAAAAATTAGCCGTACCTCGAAAGTGCGCATCTTTAAAGCATATTCCCTTAACTTGTTTGGATCCTGTGAGAAATATTTACTTGAGTTCGTCTTCTKGTTGGCAGACCACTTCACCAGCAARTCTAATTTCAGTTTTTCCCCCAGGTTTTCAAACAGCTTGCTTTACTACGCGTTTAATTCTTGAGGGCAGCAGCGTCGAACTAGCGATAAAATTCAAAAAGGTGAGTCAAACAAATTGTATTGAATCTAGTGTGTGTCGTGCCTGGAGGCTTGTTATAGACTAGTAGGTAAATGCATCAAATTCTATGCAGTTCAGTCATTCAGCCCCTATGCTATATATGCCCTTTCTTAGAAACAGATCTTTTCGTTCTTCGAGTGTGAATGAGCCGAGTTTCAAAAAAGGAAAATAGGGATTGAATGAGATTATTTTTGCTAAGTATATTGCATTATATGCGCACATTCGCTATAATCTCATTTATGGGGTTTAACAACTCAATTCTCGTTCAGTCAATGCTTAATGATAGCATTTTTACAGTGTAGTATTCAAATATAGGTTGTAGCAAAAATTCTACAACTGCGTCACTTGTTCAAAAATATGAATTTCAAGAAGCAAGGCAGTTGATACGAAACAGGGTCGAAGAGTTAATCCAAAACTTGCGCCATCATCATATTCGAAACACATCTAGACTCGTGCTGTTTTGTTTCATTTTGATCTTAAGTGTATTTCCATGCTTCTAATTGACCATCATAAAATGGTTGTCCAATTTGTAAAAACTTCAAATATACTTCTCAGCGTTAATTTGTTGATTACAGCCTTCTCGACATTTGCCGAAGATAAGTTGAATCATTACTGAAACCTCTCTGGTTTAATGTATCGTGCTCATTACTTTAAACAAAGGGTTGTCAATTGGTTATTATGTCTGACAGATTACCAAATCTTCAGTCGCATCGAACTTTAACAAGTTGCACAAACAGTTCAATAGATCTTTAAAAAAAAGGACTTCAATACTTTCAACTAGATATTTACTTCAGTCCAAAGTAAACTTCTTTATGCATGTGGCTTATGCTTCAGTGATTATTTGGGAAAGAATGTACAAGTATAGCTGGTGTATAGTGAATATGGTAGACATTGTAAAAGGCGTGGTAACCTCATCCTAGCATTTGTCTTGCTCTTTCCGCTCAAGTTCCAGCGTCATTTGAGTAATCAGTACAGTAACAGCCTGACCGCACTGGTTAATCACTAATCACTAAAGCACAGATAGATTACAGTAAGAATGAGCCAAGGAAGTTAAAGTATTGGACGTTGAAAGTTAAAAAATGACAGAGTCACGACTTGAAGGAAGTCCTTCACCAACAGGATGGGGTTTGACGTAAAATGCAGTTATCATTCATTTATACATTAAAGTAAAAAATAACCGTTCCTGTGAACGGAAATCATAGACAATACACCAAGAAGTATCCTGCTGTATGTAAGTACACCGAATCATGAACGGAAAACCGCTATAAAGACGCCTTGTCAGTCAGCAAGGCGAAACGGGGAAATGAGCCACCCTTCTCATTAACAGTCAAGATTGCAATTCCGGGTTCATTTTTTTGGTGTCCTTTTCTTTTGTCCTTGAAAAGTTTGTGGGTTTCTGACTAAGAAACTCATGATCGATAAAAGATATGGAGCCGGAAACTAGAGCTATAGATAATGGTTGGTTGAAAGCTTTTGAAAAGCATTCTTTTGCCTGACCATGCATTGATATCTTATCACACATCTTCTTTTTACTTAATTGAATTCACTGATTCTCTTAGAGTAGACGGAGACTATAACAGGTCCTTCAAACCGAGTGACAAGTTTTTTGAACTACTGAGTTAGAATTCAATAAAGTTGATTTTTGCGGAGGGAGAAGTAGAGAAACCGAAGCTCAGAAGAGAACTTATAACGAGCAACTCTAACACGATAGCAGGTCAAGGGATTGAACCCTTGGACAGCTCGCTGATAGGCGGGGCATTAGCAGTGCACACCATCCGTGATTCCCAAATATTTTCAGTTATCTCCAGACACTTTTGTTTTGGTTTTGAAAAAGATTGGTTTTAACTTCCTCGAATGTTTTTTAAAGGAAAACTATTCTTTAAGAATGATTGATCAGTCAAAAAATGTGGCTAGAAAAATTAACTTTGCTATGAAGTTCATTGACGCAAACCCAGTTGTCAGTAACGTTAACTTAGCTGGAAGTGTTTGCTATCTCAAGAAGTGCATCCTATGTGAACACTAGTGGTTCAAAGAAGGCGAGAATTTTATCTGACTTCGCCTTCCGACATTGCTTTGGTAAACGACTCCTGACATACATCTCGCAAAACATTGGATGAAAATTCCTGACACGTGCGCTTCTGTCATTGTTGGTATGGCTCAATTGTTTTACAGATTTTGAATGGCAAGGGCGGTTTGACGAGAAAGGGAGGGAGGGAGGGAGGGCAAGCACCTCAAAGAAAGCAATCAGTTACTGCTCTGACCGAAGGGACAATGAATTGCTAAAGAATTGATATACTCAAGCAAAACTAATAGACTGATTAGCATAATTTTAGAGCATATAAAACCGGTGTTATTTGGTTCCTCGAGTGGGAAGGGCCTTCAACAATGGCAACGTTTCCTTGGCAAGACAATTCCATTGATAAAATGAAATGCAAACTGACCCAAAACTTTTAACCGGTTTTAAAAAATGGGCTGCTGATAGCTGGAGACTCCTTTTACGAATTGTGGACACTCCTGTGAAAAAGATATGGATCGGAATATATCATTTTAAAATGCTACGACCTTACGTTTTCAGTTCCTTTGGCAAGGGAAGGAATTCCTAAATATTATTTAATTAGGGCAATTAAAAACTTTTAAATTTGATTTTGTAAAACACCGGATTTTGTAGCCGGAATCCGGTGAAGCGAGAGCCCTGATCGGAATCGATCATGATACTGATTCAAGCAAATTTTCAGGTTGAGATGCCTTCATCGTGTTGTTGTTTAACAAAATCTTTCAAGCATATGTGGACTCTTCCGTTTTTAAGCATCCGCCGCCTTTGAACAGCTAAATGTGCCTAAAAAATCCATGGACTTTCCATTGTTTGCAGCTATTTTTAACCCTAAAACATTTAGTATTCATGAAACGTTGACGGCGTCATGTCAGTAAAATTAAATGTTTTGGAATAATTGTCCTAAGCAATTGAAAACCTTCCTTTTGGCGTGTTAAAACAACGTTGTAATATCGTTCAAAAGAGTTAACAAAAACTTGGTACACAAAATGTCATGGAATTGTCAAAAAGCTGAACAAACTGCGCCTTTTCGTAAATACGCTTAGATTATTTACATTCCTCGGATCGCGTTGTTTTCTCGCAGGATTCCTTATGAGCTGTGTAAAGTGAAGGCCTTTTGGAGTTCACTTAGAAGTTTTWGTTTAGGGACAAAAAAGTAAATTTGAATAAAAAGGAGAATATGCGTGAGGGGAAAGTAGGRCTAAATGCTGAAACAAAGGCCGTTAATCTCGATGAAGGGAGCCTGAAATGTCGGCATCTTTTGACTAGCTCGTAGGATATTGCTCATYGTAATAGTGCTCAAATCCACTCGACCAGAAACCAGTACGATGTCACTTTAAATTTTCAATCTAACCTTAGGGCTATTTATTTCTGCCCTCCCGAGTCTTAAACACGAGCAAAAAATCAAAAGGAGACGCGAGAAGTCATGTTTTTGRTCAACAACATGTCGTCGTTCAAGACACTAGACTTACACAATTAGACCGAGTTGACTGATTACCGGAAGCAATATTGATTATCAAGAATCTAAATGGTTTGATTATTCTCTTACATAGCTTAAATACAATATTACATTTGCTCTGTTATTCTTAGAACCTTAAACAGTCACCAAAAGRTATACGAGTCTATTAGTAGATCACAAAGTCTAAACACAATCAGCGTTTCGATGGATGAAAATCAAAGGTAAAGTCCTTCAATTTTTTTGGTTCATCAAGGGTTCGAAGTTTATTTTCAGTCAGTTTTAGAATTTTTTCTGTTTACCAAACTTTCTTAAAATGCTTATCAAACTATTTCTAAATTTCTGATAAGGCATAGCTCGATCGGAGCTGTTCTGGGACATTCCGACTTCATTTTTCCAAACGCCAAATTTGGTGCATTTTGTCTTTTTTCTCTCTTTTTTTCTCCGTTTAATGTTGAATTCGAGACCCTATTCCTAACCCTTCAACTACAGTCTGCGATTGAAGATATCGGTATATCCAATCTCGGAAGTCGACAAAGATGAAACGTCGGAAGTTATTTAAGAAATTTAGAATCTAACAAGATCATCTCGTTGGACYTTTAGTAGCTTGCTAACCTTTAGACACCATCATACGACATCACCATCATTCTGTAATGACGGTGAGTCTCAACCTTGACATAAGCTAAATCAGAGTACAGTCTGACACTTTGTACATGTATCAAATAGCTTGTTTGCTTTGCTAGATCGTGCTGGCCATCTCAAGCTAAAAGCAAGCATTCGATAAAGCAAACAACTGCCTTCGACAAGTGTCACCCGAATCACCGAATTATAAACACGGTTTTTGGAATCATAGTGAGACTCGTTGAAATGCTAAGCACAGGGGGCATACCTAGGTTTCCAACCTTTGTGTTTAGAGCAACAAGTTTGATTAGTAAGAATCTAAGGACAGGAAAAGATCACAATGACAGGAAGAACGACTAAGCTCCTTATGTATCTTGTGGAAAAAGTCCAGAATGATCATTATGCTAATCTGTCGGCAAGAAAACAAATCCCGTTGTCTGACTCTTTCTTTTCACTAGAATAGGGACCGGAAGTTGTGCTTAGTAGACTCGTCTGCATCTACCAATATGGCTTTTTACTAAAACACTCATTTTGAATTAGGCTTCTAAAGTTTCGTGCTGAAGTGCCACGAAAATCTGGCGTTTTTGCTTCAAATTTCTCAAGTGTTTCTCGATTAGTTTTGGATTTTAAATTGATTTAAGTGGATTTGCATTTTTAAAGTATGTACGAAGTGTGTGGATAGTGTGCGACGAATGTGTGTGCTGTGATTTGTGTAGGTAGGTGGGTGGGTGTCATYATCTGTCAATCTTGTTTTTAAAAGATCAGTTACTGTGTGTGTGTCTGTGTATTGCTTCAACTGATGACACGCATCGAGAGACGTGTGTAGACCTTCAGTGAATGGATGGGTTTATGACGTCACAATCAGTTCACAAATAATGCTAAGAGAATAATGATTCCATAGAGGGGGCGGTGAAAGGCTGGTAATTTCTTCACTCTAAACCTTTTTGTCCACAAACGCACAACAGAGTCACCACTGCAAGTGTGGCCAAGTGAAATCCAAGCTTTGGCAGTTCCGTATCATCTGCAGTTCGTAGATCGACCTTCAGGTTTATCGCTGCCCAGTGTATTATATGTGCCGAGTGTATTGTATCATGTCTCAATGATTTGAGGCTGCCGGAAACATTCCTCCATTTCCTGCGTGTCTTTGAAACCATTTTGTGAACACGGAACTCTTGATTTTCATAACGAAACCAAACTGGGCTGTGTTAAAAAAAAGACTGTTGATCTACTTGCCTAACTCTTGGTAACGGGCGTCTAGGTAGGAATGGAAGTCTTCCAGTAACATGATGCTCTCGAAGTTCACACTAGTGCTAAATATAAACTCTATTTTGATTAACGTAACGTTAATTGATGAAAGCTTTATTCGTATACACTGGTTTGCTCAACATTCTCTTTCCTTTGCTTTCTAGTGATGCAGTCGCCGATTGGCCGTAGCCGGGGAACAGATGAAGCAATTTAAGGATCAGTGGCAGTGGATCGTTCATGGACATTGTTATTGAGGATTTAATGTTTCATTAAGAACTCTTTGGATAGGAGATCAAATGTTACATGGCGTTAGAAGCTAGAGTGACATTACATGAGAATCCTTTTGGAAATCTTGTTGTATGGGAGAAAAGAAGCCCAAATTCGATTTCAAGACATCGAAATCGTTCGACTGAAGCACTTAAAACTGTTGATACGATTGTGATTAAAAACGATGATGGCAAGGATAACTATCATACGGACTACTGCGTGCTCGCGGCCGCAACGAAAGAACCAAGTTCACAACACAGTCGAATAAAACCTGTTCTGCTTAGCGACCGTGACAGGCAGACTAATTTCTCAACTTCGAGTTATAATACTTTCGCTAAATCACACACGAGTGGGCCTGTTTACATTCAGCAAAGCACTACAGTAAGTCGGAATGTTAGCTCCATAGCTGGACCAACCAGGACTGAACCAGCTTATGCTCCAGCCAATAACAAACACAACGAAGACGAGGACATCAAACTTTTCTGCTGCGGTCGAAGCGTGGATTCGATAATCGATTACGCAACGTGTATGTGTTGTGTTAAAGGAGCAATTTATCACTGTACTAAGGACACGTACGAAGAGGGGAACCTTGCAGAGGATCCTTGCGTATGCGATCGGGATCCTACTTCTCGAGCTTGTATCTCAAGATGGGCGTGCATGACCCTATGCTCGTTCTTCCTACCATGTGTATTATGTTATATACCGGCGAAAGGTTGCGTCCAGGTTTGTACATGCTATAAACGACATAGAACTGCTAGTGTTAGGAGACAAAGAGGCCGAATTAAAGGTCCTCATTGATTAGGAATTGATCAACACTGATCGGTTATGCCTTGCTTTTAAATTATAATACGACTTGGTTCATATTGATACCTCGATCTCAGAAACATTTACAATCAAATGCAGACTTTATTTATACGGTACTCATTGTARATATTAAATTTGTTGAAAGATGACATTGAAAATGAGTTGTACTAGTGATTCTCTTGCGGGGGTTTTAGGACCTTGTTCGGTGAGGGGTTTCAATTGTGGGTTATAATGGAGGATGTTGAGTGTTTAGGAGGTCAACCTTGGAAGGAAAGCCGTCGTCCAGTTATCTAAAACACTGCACGTTTAGGAAGTTGCAACCCTCTAATCCTCAAACTCATAACGGCGTGTGTCTTGTCAAGCGGAAATGCCGTTCGATCACACGACTGCTTGACTTCCATCGAGTACTTTCTATGTTTTCAAGACCCTCTGAACATGGGATTCATCTTGCGTCTATACTTACTCCAATGTGTGTTTACAGTCTGATAGACAAAACATCAAAACATCGTCATAGCAGGTTAATGCTATCTTCAGTCGTTGCTAATAAATAAACATGCTTGCTACTAAACCCTTGCTTAAAAAGAGGCCAACTTAGATAGTCCAACCTGGAGTTTACATCAATTATACTCCCTGCGAACTGGATTATTTTCCAAAACATGTAGCAGAGTCACTTGTAAGTACCTTTTAAAATTCCTATTGCCCCAATGAATTTTTAATTATTTATAGTTTTTTTAGACAATRATAATACATGCAGATTGGCTGAATTGAAGAAAAAAGGCTTCATATTTAATATTGAAAAACTAAACACGATCCCTTATAGACTTATTTTGGTATTGCATCATAAGAGTTTTAACGAGAATATGATAGCTTATGATTGTAACATATTCACCTATTTCCTAATAGACAGTAGGTACCTTTCTTAACAGTTTGCAATGAAATGAGATTAARTTACTTAAAGGATTCTTTAGTGTACATGGGTTTTGGTTTTTGGGTGATTTCCTTGGGATTGAGATGGCAGCTTTGCTCTTAGACATTGGTACTGACAGTAACCTAAATCAGATGAAGAAGATTATTTAAACTCCAGTAAATGGCAAGAATACTGAGTCACTACATGATATATATATTTTAGTGTTTTGGTTTTGTTGTTCAATTTCTGTTGCTGGTACTGTCACTATTGTCTAGTTGTTTGTGTGTTTTTGTTCATTTCTTGAACAACCCTTGACTCTCACCTGCTCTTTCAGTTGCCTTTCTTTAGACTATGCAAGAACTACCTGTCTGTCTATCTGTCTGCGTATAAACCCCCTCAAAACACCCACACGCTGTCACCTTAACCTTCATTCACGACACAAAACTTATGTGCAGGTCCAATCATCTATTAATGAGTATTTTACTCCCTTTTCTTCATAAACATCTCGTAAGTAGCCGTGGGCATCTTTGGTATCGAAAAGAAGACCCGTCTATTTGTGCCATGTTTGTGGTATTGTTTTATTTTTACCTACAAATAAACTGCCTTTTGAAAAATTGGCTCACCCGTAAAGTTTTTGTATTCATCTCTTTCCCATCTATTTATGCCATCTTTGAAGTTGGTKCTTAGTCTCTCCCATCCTATTTCCATGTATCCTTCCTTATTCATTGCTCCATTCAGTCGCTCAGACGTTGTGAAATCAGTGGGTTTTTTTGCTCATTGCTCTCTTGCATCCCCTTTTTTTTWAATGCATTCTAATGGGTGCTGCTCGACTTTCTCATCCCATTTTTCCTTTTTCTATTCTTCAAACCATTCAATCTATTTTCCTTCGTGGTACTGCTTATTTTTCACACCCTTAGATCCTTCCATTCATTTATTTCCCATTTCCATAATATGAATCACCCACTTCGGTGCAACCAGCTTCTCCCATCCGTTTCCCATCTATCCTTCAATCAAATCCTCATCTTTTTAATCTTCTAAGCTCACATTCATCACTTGCCTACTCTTTCTTCCATGCACCTATTTATGGAAGCAATTGACCAAACTACTTAGTTTAATAAGAAAAGAACATCTTATCACTTCCCCCTTAGCGTCCCTTGGTTAAACGATACACCAGCAAGAACCATTTGCCTGACCGTGCATGTATCTTAGATTAACACTTCGTCAATATTATTATTACAATCTTTGCTCGCTAAACTTTCATTCTGTAACAAGGGAAGAGCCTGTAAATCATGGACATCCGGTATAAGCGTCATGTCTTTCGTCTCCTCATGCGTGATCATAGATATTCCTCCGGAACAATTACATGCTATCAAAAGACAGAAAATTCGTTTCAGATGCTATTAATCCGGGGGAATGAATTTTATTTAGATGATCCTTRGAGTGATAGAAATACCCTTCAGAGCTGACTATGACACTGAGAAGTTTTGAGCGTTGATATTTTACTGGTTCATTTCTGCACCAAGATTGGACGTGAACAAAACATGTGCGGTTTTTAAAAAGGCTTTTAAGCCCAACCATGACAGATCAGCCATTGGGTCAAGTGAAATTCGACTACTCTTAAAATGAATGACTGCAAGGTTGACCTTCACACGGGAAACCAGTACCTTCAAACGATTACCAAAAGTGAAAATGATTTGTTAAAATAAAGACATAAGCAATCCAATATGTAGTACTTTCAACCTTTGGTCTTGCTTACTTGGGTTTCTCAGTTATGAGGTGTGATTCCAACGTGATAACAACGCGTCTGCTCTTGTATGTTATTCTTTTCGCTTTCCACCCATTCTTTCAACGATTTTCTTCAATACTATGCAACACCAGGCTGGCAATCTAAACAAAAGGACAATGTGGTAGGTCTTGCACAGGATATTCAGAAGAATGAGAAAATTCTTGTTCTTTAAAGATTAAAGACTGACGGAGGCTTAACGTCTAGGCCTAGAGGGGAAAACTTCATCGACAAACTCTCGGAATATTTAGAATTTTTTTGGGCACTTTTGAATATTTAAGATATTTGTTCAGGCTATCAAATGACGCATATGGGAAAGCAGAGAACGATATAGATCTCCCTTTTGTTTTCTCTTTTTCCCTGTCTTTATTTTCATTATTTCATGTTTTTTTCTCTCTACTACTCAGTCTCTTTGGATATCCCTTTAATGAACCTTTCCTTCGTCCCATATATGCGCATGACAAGAGGGTTAGAATCATTCAATTCGAATATCATTGAAGTACGCAAATTAAACGTTTACAAAACAATTTTGTATCCCATACCATGTGGGATCCAGCCGTAATATGAGCATGCGCAATGCTAAGTAAAATTACTGGAAGAAAAGAACGAAATGAAAAGCTAGCGGGTTTGCTTCCAACCCTGCATGCAAAGAACGCGCAAGTTCTTTGAGGACTGACCACAATTTTTCGTGCGTATTGACTTCTAATATTTAGATCAGTAATTTACTTGCTGTAATTCGCATTAGAATCACAACGAGACGATGAATAGCCGATTGACAGCTTGCTGGGRACCTGTTAAAGCTAAAATCAACAATAACAAGCAACGTCGCAAAACACCAGACATACTGTTGCATCTATTTTGTAATCTTAGACCTTTCAGAGGATTCGTTCATTGGTAAATTTTGGCGTGAATTCAAGAATCTATACTTGAAAAAYTCTTTAGATTACAATGCGTTATTCCCTATTTCAAATGGGTTTTCATRAGTGTCCGATTTACTAATTTGGGTAGCCTGTGGTTCATGACAGAAACATCCTAAGTTGCCTTGGAATTTTAATCCCCATGAGCATCCCTTAATCTGACATTTTCAACTAATGGCTTTCAATTTTTCCAATTAACTGTGCTACAAAGGTATATTTGATCAGCCAATGCGCGTTGAGAAAGGGCAGTCTTGAAATGACAACAAAACTAACCAATTAACGTCTCGTAAGTTACCAACTATCAACGTTTTAACCGTTGTTGGCAATGGACGTTGGTTGGGATGCAGTCAACTCCTGTCTTGAAATGATAAACAAGAATCCTTGACTAAAAGCGCAATCTCTTTTTTGAAATATTACAAATTCATCATGAGTAGAGCCGAGTTTATTATGGGTGAATTTTGTTAATAATATGATTATCAGAAAAAATGTGTTTGTGTTGTTAAAAAGGGATGCAAAAAGGGCTGATAGGGAAGTCCGTCATGAAAGACTAAATCATTCCTCTAAAACCACAAATGAACATTAAAGAATATCAGGAACTTCCTTTCTCACGGCTCAGCGCTCACTCTTTGATCATGACCATTCTACCGCGTGTCCGGCACAAACCAAAAATAAACCTCGAATGTTCGTTCTTAACTGACTACCAGCTAAGTGGAAACCTAATGCGCGTTAAAGTTGACTCAATAAACGTGCCTTTTGTTTATGTGTTTGGATAATTAGCGTTAACGCCCGTTGTTTCACCGAGCTTTGCAATCGCTTCAGAAAAAAAAGCACAAGAGAACAACTGAAAAATGATTTGAAATTGACTAAGTTGACCTATCGTGGAAATTGATTAAAGTAGCTAACCACAAAGGGAGCCTAGGAATGTTTATTGTATTTTTTTCTTTTCTGTTTWGAGTGTTTTTGTTTAGGCCTGACAACATAAGGTTTTGTTGTTCGTACCTATGTTAACTAGTTGAACTTGGCAGTCACGGCTGAATTCCAGTAGGAAATTTACTCATTTCCTGTTATTCTAGCTTTGCTTTTTCCTAATTACCTTTTCGCAAGCCATTATAATAAATCACGGAGTTCTAAAAACATCCGTTTTAATAGCATGTGCACCCTCGACCAGAACTTCTCAGTCCTACTTTRGTAGAACCCAGTTGATCTTTGTGCTTCGTTTTCTGTGATAACCCACGAGGTCAAAGAAATTGAGTGAGTGAGTTCTTATCGTGTCTTTCCTCGCTTGTTATGGCAAAAGCTGTGTTATTTTCAGTGGACAAAGAATGATAATAGCTATGCTTTAAGCACTTGAATGTATTCTTATGTATAATTTCTTAATATTATATCCATCCAAAGACTTTTATCAGAAAATGTTACATCGACCAACGCGAAAAGCCGAGGCATCATATATGCTATCAAGTCAGTAAGTCTGTTTTGACTCAGTATTGATTCCGAGAGTCTTGTGCACTCGAAACATAGTTTTCTGAAGAGCTCCCCTTTATCTCCTGCATTCTTGAGAAAAACAATGTTTCCAGAAAGGAAACACGTGGGATGGACATGCCTTTGATCATTGCCCACTCATTGAGCTAGTTAAACATAAAATGAAAATCAAAGACAAACCGACCAAGGTCGAAAGTTTTAAGTTTATGTACATAATGAGCGATGTAAAGGTTTTGTGGAGGTGACYGATCAAGATTTTATTTGAAGTTACAGAACCAAGTTAGAAGAATCAGCTTAGAAAAATGTAAAAAGATGTACTAGAATAGAAACGAAAATGAATGGTTCAGACTAGGGAATGAAAAGACCCCTTGCATGTGAAGTTAAAGGAGCTCAATYTGGAGGACAAAACAAAAGAATTACAATCTCATGAGAATTGGAAACCTATTGTTTTGCCCTCCAAATTTAGCTGCATTCYGAAGTGCCGCAAGGGGTCTATAGATGAGAAGCTACAGTGAACGGTAGGAAGGGCGAAGAAAAAAAAATGCAGTAATTCAAATTATACTGAGGAAAAAATCTATATAAAGAAAATAAAGTTATGGGAAAAGGAAAAATAAATAAAGCAAACGAAGGAAACGAATGMATAAATAAATGAATAAACGAGAAAAATTAATGGTTGAGGATGAAATAATAAAGAAGAAGACAAAAGAGAAATGATTATAAGGAACGAAGAAACACAGAAATCATCATAAGAGAAATAAATAAAAGGAAAATGAAAACTGGTCAGAAAAGTAGAAGCAGAGAAGACCTTAACATACAGTTAGTATCATGAGAAATCACTGGCGCTTGACTAAACTCTTAGGTAGCAGAGTGAAATAACGCTCCTAAATTAGGTTCATAATGACAAAAGGCGAGAAAAGAAAAGTACTGACTATCATCTCTTAAATTACCTTTTCAATGAAAGAGAACCAAACAGCAGAAATGTTGTACTCAAAAATTTCAATAGTACAAGGAACAAGATTTCACCGAGAACAATTAGACTGAACGTTAAGCCGCATCAGTAAAATAAATAGGAGCGTAAAATGCATGCACGACTGGGAAGATAACTCCAGGTTTAAATAAACTGGCAGAGTTGGCAGGCTATTTGTGGAATAAACAACTATTATATCGCTCTCTGCTGAATAAAAGTATTTGATACTAGTTCGGGCCAGAATAACACCTAGTAATACTCTAGCGGTTTCTTGATTCATCTTAGTATATAAAACACGAAGACTTTGCTAGTATATTTTTGATGAATTATCCGAAATAAAATACAAAAATCTTTCCATTCTCTTCAAAGAGCTACAGTTATTCTCTCTCTTGGTCCATAAACAAGCTGTATTTTAGGAAACAATTTATATCTTTTGCTGCACGTTTCGTTGATCTTCAGTTTATGGGTGCGCCTGATTTTATGTCGTCTGTCGCTCAGCTTGCTTGCATGCTTCCCATTGCGAGTAGCTTCGTTTTCGGTGGAATTCGCATATCACTCGCATATCGCCCTCCAGCCAGGAGTATAACTACGACTTTCTTTGCCCAAACGTATTTCTCTGCTTTCTTCTCTTTATCCTGTGACGCCGCGAGAAGCCGCGCGCCCTTCCACGATAATTTCTTTTTCGTGGCCTGTTGGTCTTCAAGTAGTCCCTCGGTAGGAACTGWCGGTACAATCTACGCATGGAGCTCAAAGGACCTGGCACAACGCGTCCATTTTTGTTTAAAGCTAGGAACCATTTTGGGTATTTCACAGACTCATATACCCGGTACCCTGTTGARGTTTCTCGTTCTTTGAATATACACTTTTTTCTCTTTTCTTTGCCTCCAGTTTTCTGTTGAAAAAATATCAAGAGGTTAAACAAGTCGAGAGAAATTTTCGTAAGGCCTTCTTTACATGAAGGTTGAGTGACCCTGGGAAAGCGTATATCCCCTCCCCTCCCCAGTGAGGGGAACAAAAAAGAGTCACCCGCTTAAACTCAACTCACCCTGCCATTATGTAACCTCCCTAACACGAGAACAGCCTTTTTTCAAATCTATTTTGAAAACCGCATAGCTTAGAGAATATTAAATTTGCGCAAGGTTTACTTGAGCACTGACGATTTATATTTCCGTAAATCATGAATAAGTGCGGAGTAAAGATTAATTGACCAAATCGACTTGGGCATTATAATGTTTTCCTATTTTTAAAACACGTGTCATTAATTTCTCTGTTTAACCGTTGCGCATGCGAAGACATGCATATGGATAGCAACTTATAAACCTAAAATCCTATTCTCTAGGGAATGACACGTGGTCTGAAGTGGGAAAACATTACACCCCAAGTGGATTTGGTCTCATAAACCACATGATTGATCATCTCATACCATTAGGTATATGATTCTGTTAAAGTTCTAATGCTATCAGTAGGCTAAACTATTCAAGTCATGAGCTATACAATTGCAAGAAAACTCGAATTATATAACTCCCGGGATATATCTTTAAGATATCAGGATTGAAGCAATCTGGCTTAGTTCCAGCCCAAAAACGTACACACATACAAATACACACTTTATTTTCGGTAGGTCAAAATTACAGTAACTGGTTTTCAAACTTAATGTAGTTGATGTGCGCATGAGCGCATCTATAGGTGTTTTTTTCTTAAGTGCTAGCCATCCCCAGCCACTGGCGGGTCACCCGCGGAGAGAAGAGACCTTAGAAACTTAATGATCTGCAATACTCACGRCGTGAAATGGCCAATACATTATTAGAGAACAAAACACGCTCCGTGTGGTTAACCACTGGAGACAGCCTTGCTGTCCAAAGTCTTAACCACAAAATAACTAATTACTTATTGTTCAACCCCATATGATGCATCTGGTTATCATCTTAACCAACCATTCACATCTCTACGTACATTGAAATTCATTGAGAAGAATTCGAATTATTTTTAGAATGAGGTGAGTTATGTTGTGGGGGGTGGGRAGCGGCGGCTAGAGGTGAATAAGAGTGAAGTTCATTTAAGGGCACTAGTAGGCAATTCCATGCTCTATACTCTAGGCCACTCTACTGAAGTCCGCGCAAGATGCCGAACCTTTAATTTCTTATCACATTGATCCTAAACTACTTATTGTGATATAAAGTTCGCGTACGGTGGAGGGACGACCACTTCAGCCATCGCAATGCATGCCKTTGGTGTCCCTTAGGAGTAGGTACCAAGGTACATACAAAGTTCGTTACAGAGCGAAGGGCGAGCGGGTTGATGGCTAGCGTCCCGTCAGTATCATGGCTA